GATCGGGTTGGTTTGGTCTCCAAATCACAGGAATCCTCTTAATCAACCTCCTGAGTGCTGGGATCACAGATGCACATCACCACATCCTGCTACAACCTTTAATTTTAATGTATCTTAAATTGAAATATGTTATTAAAATCAGACTTTAAAAGATAAAATTGGAAAAAGATTTCATAAAAGTTTATATTTTAATTAATAAAAGCTTTTGATCTCAGCTAAAGCCTACCTTTTTAATCTAACATTACAATGCTACATTTGTAATAGCATAAGCAGCTAATCATTTTGTATACTCAAAAATAGTAATACATTGTGATTAAGTGGAAATACACACATATCCATCTTCAGTAACAGTAAACTTGGAAATATATATATATATGTATATATATATATATATTTTTTTTTTTTTTTGAGTCAGGGTCTTGGTATAGTACTCAGGTGGGTCTTGAATGCTTGAGCTCAAATGATACTCCTGCCTCAGTCTCTTGAGTAGCTGGAACTATTACCATGCTTTGAGTAAATAATCTTTCAAATGGTAAAACTACGTTATTGTTAAAATTAAAAAAAAATTAATCTATTTGTTACAGGGTCTCGCTATGCAGTTTGTACTCATAATGATCCTCCTGTCTTAGTCTCCCCAGAGCTGGTATTATAGGCATGTACCACCATGCCCAGCATCAGTGGCTGGCACCACATGTGGTACCAGAGATTGAACTCAGGTCCTTGAGCTTGCCTGAGCAGGGACTTAGTATGCTGAGCTATCTCACTGGCCCTTGGCTCTTAGATTTTTTGAACAAAATTTGTTTCTAATTTATGCTATATATAGACTATTAAGTGATCAGAAAAACTTAAGACAATTTATTCAATGCTTTTTTATTTTGGAAAACTACAGATATTAATAGCTTTAAGGCTACACTAGATCTAACTCTATTGTTTTAAATTTAGTGCTTGATACTCATGGTTTAATTTTTTTTTTTTTTTTTTTTGCGGAACCGGGGATTGAACTCAGGCCCTTGTGCTTGCCAGGGAAGCGCTTATTCCACTGAGACATCTCCCTGGCCCCTCATGGTTTAATTTTAAAAATTAAAATGTTATCTAATTGAGGTGTATAACATAGTCAGATAGTTATTAGGAACTAATGCTACCAAAGAGATGCTTTTCTAGAGGTAAATAGTAGTTCTTTCAAATAAGGTTCTAAAGAGAGATCATAAGAATAATCCAAATGTAAAAAAGATTTAGTTGTTCCTGCACATGCTAACAAAAATAAGGCAATTCTAAGCAAATCTCAGACAAAATTTTCCTCAGGATAATAATTTTTTTAAACATGTTTTTCTTTATTCATTTGGTACAGGGTCTTACTATGTAGTTCAGACTCGTAATGATCTTCCTGTCTCAGCCTCCCATGTGCTGTGATTGTAGGTGTGTGCCACCATGCCTGGTTTTGGTAGCCAGCTCAGTGTGCCTGGGGGGAGGGCCAGTGCGGCATGTGGTGCCAAGGATTGAAACTGGGTCCTGCACTTGCCAGGCAGGCACTTAGACCACCGAGCAGACCTGGCCCATCAGGATAATAATTAACACTGTTTTAAAATAAGTAGTATTAGACCTAGTTGGTAACAAATGAAACTATTTTTAAATGAGTCTAATATTAGACTTGGTTACAATAAACACACACAAAACAATAGAATTCTTATGGTAGAATATATTTTAAGATATGTAATTCTGAGACATTTTTTATACTAAGATTATAGAGGATTTTCTAAAATAGGAAATAGTGCTTAAAAATTGTATATAGCTATAACACACACACAACTTATCTTTAGTACTTGGGATTGAATGTGGGGCCTTGAGTATGCTGGCAAGCACTGTATCAAGTGAACTATACTTCTAGCCCTTTGGAAAAAGAATCTTGCTCAGCTCCCTAGGCTCTCCTTCAACTTTTGATTGTCCTGCCTCAGCTTCCTAAATAGCTGAAACTGTAGGCAAGGAAAATCATGCCCAGTTAACACTGTATATTTGTGAAACTCATATATACAACACTAATCTACCATCTCAGTTAAGAACCACTTGCCTAAGGGAAGGTTGAGGCAGGAAAACCTCCACAAGTTCAAGGCCAGCCTGGACTATATGGTGATACCCTGTCTCAAAAAACAAAACAAGCCGGTCATAGCAGTACACACCTATAATCCCAGCATTTGGGCTGAGGCAGTAGAAGGCTGCAAGTTTGAGGCTAGCTTTAACTACAGAGTGAGACCCTGTCTCAAAACCAACCAATGAACCACCCACCCACCCACATAACAAAACAATGTAACCATACACACAAAGAAACATTGGTTATATTATATTGTTGCCTAATGCCATCAAGGCAAAACACTATCCCAATTCTGACTAATACAGGAAAACTCAAGAACAATGTTATAGGTAGGATCAAATTTGAAATAGATTATTCAGAGTACATGATGCATATATGAATTACGAAAGAAAAATAATGAAAATGGGTATTTGTTGAAAATAATAAAGATTGCTCATTTATTGGGAAAGAATAGTTGTTGATGAAAAGAATATTTTAGGGCCAACTATGAGTCTAGATTAAAAATGACAGATAAGATTTGAAAGCAAAAATAATGTAGTTCATTTCTTATATCATACTCAAACACTATCCTAAAGACATGTTTAAAAACCTACTTAATGGACACAGCTAACATCTTTACAAACATACACACATTCCACTCATCATGATACATGTATGGGATTTATTTATTTTTTTAAATTTTATTTATTTGTGTGTGTGTGTGTGTGTGTGTGTGTGTGGCCAGCTCAACCCACCAGGGGGCGGCCCTGGCTGGCATGTGGTGCTGGGGGATTGAACCGCGGTCCCTTTGCTTTGCTAAATTTGTTCTAAGTAGGTGCTTTAGACCACTGAGCCATCTTACCAGCCCCCATGTATGGGATTTACATTTCATATAGTCCAAGCACTTCTTTCTATACATTGGAAAGGTGATAAAAGCAATGCATTTTAATAAAGGGCTAAGTAGGCTACCTTGAACTTGCTATGTAGCCTACCACAGCCTTGGACCTCCTGCCAAAGCATCCTAAGTGCTAGGGTCACAGGTATCATCACCAAACTTTGCTCAAAAAGATTTCTTCAGGGCCCATGGAGACAGCTTAAGCACCTGCCTGGGAAGCACAAGGAAGGGAGTTCGATCCCCAACCCCTACATGCTGTGCTGGCTGTGCAACTGGGCATGGTGGCATGTGCCTGTAATCCCAGGACTCCAGAGGTTAAGACAGGAATATCACTGTGAGTTTGAGACCAGCCTGGGGACTACAAAAGTGAGCATAAGGCCAGCCCAAACTATGTAGTGTGACCCTGTCTTTTAAAAAAAAATTTCTTCGGTGCTAAAAATATTTAAATGGAAAAGCCATGTCCCTATAATCAGTAAATAAAAATGTGGTATTAATTTTGTGTGCTTGTATCCAAGCAAAGCGCTAAATCTAAATTTTAATTATAAAGGCACACTTATTTCATTCATTTTCAGTATCAATTCATTGAAAGATAATTCTGATACAGATTAGAGGGGGGGGAAAAGGGGAAATTTTACTGTTTATCCACACTTATGAAAAAAATGCTTGCACTTTTTCTCCTATGAAGGGACACACTACAACATAAAACTAACAGAAATTTATTCATAGCTGATGTGAACTTCACAGGCCAAACAAAAGTTAAACCAATGGGCCAACATTCCTTTTTACATACTTCGCTGACTTTTATATCCCACTCTTCCTTACTTTTTGCCTCCAATTTCATCAAAATAATAAAAACTGAAGAGAGTGGCAATTTTTTAAAATATAACTTCTTTATTCTCTGAGTTCACATAGCTATTATATGTCTGTATACTTTACTTTCTTTTTTTATGTATTTAGTACAGGGTCTACAGGGTCTCCTTACATAGATCAGACTTGTAATAATTCTCCTGTTTTCAGCCTCCCAAGTGCTGGGATTACAGGAGAACACCACTATGCTCAGTCTCAATCGCCATCTCAGCACACCCCAGGGGCAGGACTGGCAAAGCACACTGAAGATTGAACCCTGGCCTTTACTTCCTAAAAGTAAAATTATTAGCATAAATCTCTCCCCATCACCAGGATGTTGAGATTTTTATTTTCATTATCAGTGTCAAGTAACAGATGGAAAGTTCTGAACAGGGAAAAGTCTATGACAGGCTGAGACATTCTGTTCAATTACAATGCCTATTATTCCTTTTTAAGCACACTGCTAACTTCCCACACTATACAATACAGATATTTATCTACATAACATTTGAATATACCACAATCCTCCAGACCACCTTATTAGTGATTTTAAATTCAGTGACACATATTGTGTAAATGAGGATACTACTTAGTATTTGCTTACTTTTTTTTTTTTTTTTTTTTTTTTTTGAGATAGTCTTACCATGTAGACAAGCTGGCCTCAAACTTTTGGCAATCTCCTGCCTCAGCCTCCCAAGTGCTAGGATTAGAGATGTGCATTCCATACCAAGTTATCTTTGCTTGTTTTAATAAATAAAGTTTAAGCTTCAGGTCTTCTACACTATTATTTTTCTAAAAATCTTGTATGATTGGTTTTTATTTTGGAAAAAGCAATATAAGGAATAATTTTGCTATACTCTGCATATTGTGTTAGTCTAGGTAAAATGTATACTATACACCTATGAGCAAAGCTTACTTATGCTATAAAATGAATACAGATGCACAGTAAAACATCATCAATTTAGGACATTTTCTCTGATTAATCTTTTATTGTGTTCTGTACTTTTTTTTTTTTTTTTGGTGGAACCGGGGATTGAACTCAGACCCTTGCACTTGACAGGGAAGTGCTTATTCTACTGAGCCATCTCCCCGGCCTCTCTGATTAATCTTTTAAACACTTAATCATCCAAAATAGTTTTCAAATCCAATATTCAAAGACCTTAAAAAATAAAGATGGCATCTTTATATAAAAATCTGTTGTCAATAACTGAAAGAAAAATTTACAAAGTTTTGACTTAGAAAAGGTTGCCTCTCAAAAATCAGAATGTTACAAGCAAGCAAGCAAGCAAGCAAGCAAATTCAATCATGTTGGCTCTACTGACTTATTGTCTTTAAACCTGTAACATAAAGCATGATATGGCTCTGGTGTGCCTTGGTACAGCCCAAGACTGGAAGCCACAGAAACAACAAACCTAATAGTAACAATACCTCCCTCTTATACAGTGTAATATCTCTGTTGACTTGCTGGGGGTCTTTGTTTTTTGTGATGGAAGGGGGGCTTGAGCCTAGGGCTCTGCAATGAGTTATATCCTAAGCCTTTTATTTTGAGACACAGTTTCTGTTACATTGCCAAATTGGCCAGGTTGGGCTTGTACTTGCAATATTCCTTTCTCACCCTCCCAGGATACTGGGATTACAGTTATGTGTCATCACACTGGCCTATGAGATATTTTTTCTAACATAAATTCCTGAACTCAGGAAAGGAAACCTTCACATTTACACATGTTCTATTTTTGTACTATTTATTTTAGTGTTATTTACCTAAAACATTTTTTTCCTGAACAAGAGGATTTAAATTAGAAAACTAAATTTTTATTACTCTTGATTCATAAAAAATTATTCCATAGTTTCCCTACATAGAATCCTTTATTTTCTAATTTTTTCCCCCTAATTCATAGGATTATAAAGAAAAGGGCCCTGGATACTATGCTCAACAGGAGAGAAAATGCAAAGGAAAAATCTCAGCAAGATTCATTTAAAAAAAAACAAACAAAAAACCAAAAACTGGATATAAGAAAATCTGTGACATGTGAAATAAAATATACTATCTTAAGCTATTATTATAAAAGTCTTTGTTTGTAAACCCTTTAAGAAATACACATAAGTGATTCTTTTTCCTGAAAGTGCACTTTACATGATAATGTTCTGCGTAACTGTAGGAGTTCATATACCCTAAGCCCATGGAATTTCAGAGGAGTAACTCTTGTAGTTGTAAAAGTTCTTTAACTTATCTCCAGAGATGATTTTATAAAAGAACTAGGCTTAACAAGGTCTTTGCACTCCAAATAAATTATTTAGCTTTTTACTACAAAATTGTGAATAAGAAAGCATAACATAACACCCAGTTACCTACAAGACTAACTGTAATCCTAAAAGCTGTACATAACATGTAATAGAAGTGTTTTTAAAAAATTATTGTAGCAGTTAGGTGCATTGGTACATGCCTGTAATCCTAGCATTCAGGAGGCTGAGGCAGGAAGATTCCTAAAACTTTAAGGCCACCCTAAAGTACAAAGTGAGACCCTATCTCAAAATAATCAACCAACCAACAGACCACCAAGCAAACAAAAAGCATGAAGAAATTAATTATGGTAAATAATTACATTATGTATATCCTTTTCGTTCATTCATTAGTCATACAGATGTCCTAGGTAAATATCAATATATTTGGATAAAGTTAATTCTTCTACCTATAAGAGCAAAACACTGTATTTGCTTAGCAAAGAAAAAGCCAAGAAATTTAGAAACTGTAAATTATGTTCTAAATGTTACTTAAAATACCCATTGTTAAAATAACAATTTTTCCTTAAATATACTATAATGAAACAAATCTGTAAAATGTATCTCTAGCTTCTTTTTTTCCTATGCAGCTTATATTATCTAAGATAATACAACTCAAATTTTCATTAACAGCATGTTAATTAGTAGAGGAATGAGCCACTAGTACCAGTTTCAATATTTTTATTTTAATCTTACCATGCATCATGGAATTTTTGTTGAGTTTTAAAAAACTAAGTGTGCAACAAATGCATTAAAAATTACTACCTCCCATCAGGAGATTCATGAATAATTTTTCAATGTGGCAGTCAGAAAATTGGAAAATGATTACAGAATGTTTAGAAAACCACATTTCTCAGCCCATTGTCTGTACTTACTAGAAATACCTTAAATTTTGCAACTTTGTATAATAAATAAATTGAATCTACCTTCATTTTGAAAATTTAATAGTTCTAATTAATTTTAGGAATGGGTCATCAAATTAAATGAAATATAGGTTATCAAATCTATCTTAGTAGAGACCAAGAATTGGTTAACACTAACCAAAAATCTATACACACCACACCAAATGATAGAAAACCCTAAGGGATTTTTCAGAGATAAAAGCTTTAAACCCTTTTGGAGAGTTGAGAGATGTGGTCAAAGTGAAAAATCAATAAATTAAGTTTCAGTTATCCAAGACAGAAGATGGAAATAATCACTTGGAATCTTGAGTATTATATTCGGTTTCTCCAGCTGAAATCTGGCTGAGTCGCTTGTTAGATCCCCACAACTTTCGGGAAAGCTGACCTGAACGCATCTGTTTAAAGTAATTCAGAGAAATGAAAAATAGATGTTAAGAAAACAAAAGAATAAAATCACCATATGACATTGATTTTGCAGAATGTTTTGTTAACAGATCACTAATGTTGTAAAAATTCTTGATTAATAATAAAGGCTTTTGATTATATGTTTTAGTGAAGAAAGGTCTCATGCTAATTTGTAAATCTAAAAACAAAATGTCCCGGTTATGTGAAAATTATCAGACAAAAAGAAAAAAATATGTATCATTTCATTAAAATAAACTTACTGAATTAATATATTTCACCTAGCTAACGAGATATACAAGTTTGGAGATTTTCTTTTTTCTGGTACTTGGAGTATTATTAATGTCAAACATAAGAGCAAAATAATGTTTTGATGAAAATAAAGTAATTTAAATTATTTTGATATAGAAATTTTTAAAAAATCAATGTTTAATAATAAGATTAAAAGTAGTTTGGAAAGCAAGAATAATATAAATCTTTTTCAGGTAAGAATCACATGTGATTGGTTCATCATTAACTCTGTACTACCTATTCATCTTTTCTAGCATATATCAAGTATTATCAGATCAGTGACAAATGTCTTAAAAGTGCTTATAAATCTAAGTGATAAAACATCCTGTATGATTTGTTGTAATTTCTTTCCCAAGTACAATCTATCTTTTTATTTCTATTTTTGTGGCACTGAGGATTGAGCCCAGGAGACACTGAGTTGCATCCCCTAGCCCTTTTTATGTTATTTAATCTGAGATAGGGTCTTGCTGAGTTGCTCAGCAGATCCTCCTACCTCAGCCTCCCGAGTTTGTGAGATTATAGAGTATCTTGGATTCTAGGTGTGACCATTATGCCTGGCCCAGTGACAATTTACTTTTTACTAGTTATTCCTCTCCTATTCTGTTAAAATGGCAACACTTCTAGTGTACATTTATTGGGTGATAAAAGATAAGCCTCATAAAAACTTACCACACAACTTTAGATGCTTGCTTTACATTTTCATTTACACATGTATTTCCTGAAATATTGTTTGCCTGCCTGCCTGCTTGCTTTCTTTTTCTTTCTTTTTTTCTCAATGTATTTGGTACAGGGTCTCACTATGCAGCTCAGACTCATAGTGATCCTCCTGTTTTCAGCCTCCCCAGGGCTGGGATTACAGGTGTGCACCACCATTCAGCATGCCTGGGGACCAGGCTGGTGCAGTATGTGCTAGGGATTGAACCCAGGTTCCTGTGCTAGCCTAAGCAGGTATTGAGTCTGCTGAGCTATCTAGTTGGCCCTGAAATATTATTTTCATTAATCTATTGCTCTACCTTATCATATAATTTATAAATATGAATTCTACACTAACAAATTAATATACTAAACTAGAACATGATTTAAAAATACACATTAATGAAGAATTTGATGTTTTAGATGAAAAAATAAACATTGATAGTTGGGTGTAGTAGTATATATCTGTAATTCCTGTTATGTGGAAGGCTGAGGCAGGACGATCACAAGTTGGAGTCCCATCTAGGTATTTTACTGAGATCCTGTCCCAAACATTAAAAGAATGCCAGGCATGGTAGTGCACCCCTCTAAACCCAGCACTTGGGAGACTAAAGCAGGAGGATTGCTGTGAATTTGAGGCCAGCCTGGGATACAGAGAATTCAAGACTAGCCTCAACTATATAGCAAGACCCTCTTTCCAAATAAATAAATAAATAAATGAAAGAACAAAAAGGGGCTGGGCATACAGCTAAGTGGCAGCACTGCCCTGGGTTCAATCCTCAGTACCAAATTAAAAAAAAAAAATTGTTGTATGAGATCAATCCCCAGTTCCAAGGGGCCAGTGGGGATGGGGTGTGGTGTCTTTAAATAAAATATGTTTTCGTAACTATTAATCTTGTTCATATTTTACATGGTCATAGTTATTAAATGAATACTTTGTTATGAGAACGTCTGGTATTCAACTTACTACAGTAGATCCCTAATTCAGTTGAGAGCTGAAGATTTAAAACTAATAAAAAATACTTTCATTTACAACTTATATATTATTCAGATACACTATAGACTACATGAATCTCATAATAAGGGTAATTACCTAACTTACTTGTAAATAATGCAAAATATTAATTTAGACCTATGAAACCCAGCTGCTCTGCTCAGGTGATTTTTCCAAGACAGTTTTAAAAGAAAATGTATACAGTATTGGGCAGTTCATTAAAAAAGTAGTTAAGATCAGAAACTGACAAGCTTACCTAATTGTGGGGAAAGCAGGCAATTAAAAAAGCATTTGAGTAAATCACAGAAAGTAAAACACAAAAAGCAAAGTCTGAACAGAGTTTTTATGCAATTCTCACATTAGCAGGAGATAGGTTGGCATGATTGGGGAAATTATTAACCAGAAAATTCAGTGTTAAATGAGAACATGTTTAATTAAATATTTTAAATACAAGTGAAATACTACGATGCAAAGCTGCTGACAATGGCTAGTTGTTAGGTTTGAAACCAAATGTTGTCATCACTTAATTTCAATATTTTTTTAATCTTGAAAAAACAGCTTACAAATCCTATATCCTAATATTTATAAAACAAAAGGTTCTTTTGTACTGTCATAGACTTACTAACAACTACTGTGTGATAATAAAATTTTCTCTTAAAAGAATCCCACAGGTGCAGATTACTCATGAAAATCACTTCTCGGCCTTTTGGCTAAGATCAAGTGTAGATTACTCATGAAAGTCCACTGGTGACTCCAAAAAACATATAATGATTAATATAACTCTATGTAATAAATTTCTTAAAAGAATCAGTAAATTACGTGGAATATAGTCACTTAATTCTTGAAGATATAAAAGCTAGATTTATTTCATCTTAATATCCAGCAATTAACCATTAGCAAGCAGATTTACAATTACAGGAAATTCACTGAGAATAATTTCACAAAAAGATATATGGTCATGCTAAATATATATATATATTAAAATCAAGCAGTCTCATTGTCTGAGTCTATATTCATTTTATTTTTTATAAAGGTTTTTATGTACTAAAAACCTATGTAATAGTTTTCAATCCAGATCTGGAATAAAAGACCTTATTTGTATAGAATGGAGATAAAAACAGCAAATGTGTGCTTTCAGGCATTAACATAAATACCACTCTGGAACAATAGCTTTATACTCTGTTTTCATTTATTGCTCCTTGAAAAATCAAATTTGTTTTTTAACTTGTTCATAAATATTGGAGATTTCTGAGTTAGTTGGAATAAAGGAAAAGCAAAGGAATCCCCAACAGTACGGGAAATAAAATTCATGATGTTAGGTTTTACCTCAGCAGGCTTGCCAACACCCACTACAATCAATTTGCCGTCTTCTAAACCTACTAGAATATGGCTGTACTCCTTAGTTACACAAACACAGTGGATAGGCAATCGCATGTCTAATGGTGTGATGCTGAGATTCAAACTAGAAGAAAAATGAAGACAAAATTTCATGCACATATTCTGGAATCACAATTTACCTGGAAAATAACTTGATGATAATTTTTACTCACACAATGTCAACATTTATAATACTACTTAAAATACCTGGTAGACCTTTTTTTGAAAAAATTAAATATTCATCTATTAATTCATTAAAGTAGTAAAAATCTCATTAATTAGAAATGACATTTTATGAAAAACCGTATTTTCCAAAACAAAAATACGTAATAAAAGGTAACACTGCTGTATATTTTTACAGATTAATGTTCAGCCCATTATAAGACATATTTGCTTCTAATTTAAATTTATTGCTACACCTTTTACTTTTGAAGCATATAAAAAACATCAGGACTCATACATATATGAAGAAAATGGACAAGTATTTTTAATAGCTTTTTCAAGAAATTGAAGATACATATTTTTTGTGATACTTTACTCCAAATGATTCCTTAGAGGGTAGTTGTGCTACAGAAGCAGAAATCACGTTGACTAACATCTACACTTTGTTATACTAGAACACAGTGACATATAAGCAGTGTGAACAGATCTTTTGGGAACACATGATTTTGACCTCTTGAATTCCTTATACCTAATAGATCTTTTCCCTAGTCTCACATGTTCTTTTCTTAAAATCTTTCATTTATTTATTTGGTACAGGGTCTCACTACGCAGTTCAAACTGACAGCGATCCTCCAGTCTCAGACTCCCCAGTGCTGGGATTACAGGAGTGCACTACCACACCCAGTTTCGGTGGTTAGCACAGTGTGCCAGGGGCTCTAGGGCTGGCACGGCATGCAGTACTGGGGATTGAACCCAGGACCTTGCACTTGCCAGGCAGGTACTTAGACCACTGAGCTATCTCCCCAGCCCCTCATATGTTTTTCTAATAATCAAACAAAATATTAATAAAGTATAAAACTACTATGTAAAATTTTATTTTCCTTGCTGAGAACTTTATACTTATAGTTCAATTTCCCAATTATTACAATCCCCAACTCCCTGTGTGTGTGTGTGTGTGTGTGTGTGTTGTGTGTACACAAGGTTTCACTATGCTTCCTAAGGAGGTTTAAAATTCCTGGACTCAAGTAGTCCATTCTCCTGCGTCAGCCTCCTGAGTAGCTGAGACTACAGTTCTGTGCCATCTTGCTGCATTCAAATGCTCTTTCTGACTCATCATGTATCTAAGGCAAGTATACTATTACCTTGACAGAGTTTCTGCTGATTACATGGTGATAAGTGACCAAACAAAGAGAAAAATAAGTGGTATTCTATGTGGGTATTAACCAGACTCCTGTGTTTAGTGTTCTTCCTACAACAGGTGGAAATAATGTTCTTGTAATAGCCATTATTCTCTAAACACAAGATAATCAGCAGGCATTTCTACCAGTATTGGCCTGACTGTATCTCTGAAATCTAGCATAGTACAGAGGCTGTCCTTGTGTCTTTGTGCTTTACTTTACTCCCACCCCAAAAGAAGGCCCTCTTTTTTTTTTTTTTTTTTTTTTTTTTTTTTTTTTCGGGGATTTAACTCAGGCCCTTGTGCTTGATTCAGCTTTCCCAT